TCCCTCGGGCCAGGTATTCGGGCAACGGGTTGCGATTGTAGTTGAGGAAAAGAGAGTTGTTCGACAGGGGCGACATGGCGACTGGGATTTGGCACAGGTAAAACAGATACTGCAGCACAGGCACCTTCAACGAAACGACAGAACAGATCACAGGTGACATCACAAACTCGAGTTCATCGCGCAGAAAATTTTCACGAGAAGGCGGAAGGGGCGAGAGGAGGTGTTAGTGTAAAAATGTACCGTATTTGCCTAAATTCAACGAGCCCTTTTTTTCTAAAAGTAATTTGAGAAAAAATTAGGTGCTCGTCATAGTTGGGTACAAATTTTCAAGTGAAATTTTTGAAAATGGGAATTCCCCCTTCCCCTCCATTTTAATTTTTATCGGACTTATCTACTTCAATACTGTATTATTATTATCATTTGTATGAAACACAAATACCAAAAATTGACTTCGACTTTCACGTGGACATTGATTTAAATTTTTAACCGACGAAGCTTTTTAGATAGGACTTTTGCTAACTGAAAACTAAGGCACGCGTCTCAAGTGGGTATGACATTTTTCCAAATTCTTAGCTGAAGATCTGAGATGCGTCTCTTACTCGATGACGCGCGGTACTCGACCAAATACGGCGTTTAAAACCATAAAAGCATTGAAACATGCATCACGTAGTGACATGTACGAACATTACACTTCTGATCTTCAAGCAACGCAGATACAGGTTTCGAATTATTTTATTGAGAATTAATTGATCAGTCATTCAGACAGGTAAATGCCATTTTGTCAAACCAGTAGAAATCGGATTATCCTGTTTTTGAATGGTAGCATGCAGATCTTTTAATAATCGCAAGGAAGCAATGGGTATTGAAGGATTTCCTGCTTCGGATAACAATCATATTTTAAAAATAAGAAGCAGTGCGACTTCCATGCACGGTAATTTTCGAACCATAGAAGATTGCAGTAATGTAAAGCTCCAGCTGGACTTCGATAACTCAAACCTCCGCAAGTCCAAAAACTCGCTATTTAAAATTTATTTTTCCAAGTCCCTGACTGAATTCGGTAACAAGCAATACACTGGAGGGTTTATTGGATTGATGCTTGCAAAGGGCGTGAACCAAAATCTCGGTGCATCTTAGAATTCTTGACAGTGCTTCGTTTTTCAAATTATCGGACTTCTACTGTGCCTCAACAATATGAGGCTCCAACAATTAGCGAAATAAACCCACCTTCCTCAGGAGGAGACCATGAGAAATGTTCTCCGCCAGCAAATACGACGCCACCAAATGCTGTATCGGTCCGGCTTCCCCAGAATGCGGCCGGAACACAATAGTGTTCAAGCCTCGCATTCTCCGGAAATGATTCAACACAGTCATGTTGGCATACACGTAATACGAGTAATACGCATACGGAGGATTCTCCTTGTTGTTCCAGTTCTGCGGGATCGGCATTGTTCGGGTCGGAGTCGGACGATGTTCGGGTTTACTCTCGTCATCCACTGAATCAAACCCGGTCACGTGTTGGAGAAACGCGTGGAGTTCCGGATGAGAAGTCGGGTCGGAAGTGGCTTCAAACAACGGAGCGAAAATGTTGTCCAAGACGTCTTGGAAATTATTTAAAATGTTGGCGCTTCTATAAACGTCACTGCAAAACAAGGAAGATTGAGGTTAACGAGGTCTAACAGAGGTTCAAACGTTTTCTCAAGGTAACAGTAAATTTTGCTTGAAAACTCGATACTTCCTTCTAGGATAACGTACGAAAAATGGTCCAACCGTTCCAAAGCCTTATGCAAAAAAATCCGAGGATTTTGTAAAATCATGAGATAGCTTTAAATCACAAATCCACTTTCTCGGCATAATTTCTGTTATCCTTCCAGTGTGAAAAATTTTTCACACGATAAACCCAAATTGCAAAAAATTGCTTAAAATGAAAGGTTTCAGCATCATTTTTTGAGCACAGAAATCATTCGCAAAACTGAGGATAAGGCGTATTCTCTGCTGAAATCCTAGCCGAATTTCAGCTTTCACATCGGTAACTGTTCACTCATCAGGCAAAATTGAATTCACAAGGAGAATACTGAAACTTGAAAACATCATTGATCTTTAAGATATTCAATAATGCAAAAAATTCAAAAAATTACATCCCTCGAAAAGTTAGACTGAATCACAGACCATCCCACAAATAAAACCTAACAAATCTTGAACGAACTAATAACCTGACCCAAGACAAACC